AAAAAAATGAAAACAATAATTATCTGATTTGCTTCTCCTGTGTTTGGCTGCTTTGGAATGTGATTGGAGATTGTTTATCCAACAGGTGGTTGTTTGATTGGTTTCATGTGAATTGTTTTGACTTAATTACCAATCACTAACAGCTGTGTCAGGACTCTGGAAGCAGTCATGAGTTTTCATGATCATTCTTTGTCACCTTTTTGTAACCTTTCTCTATTCTTTAGTATAGTTTTAGTATAATATAATAAATATAATAAATATAATAAATATAATAAATATAATATAATATAATATAATATAATATAATATAATATAATATAATATAATATAATATAATATAATTATATATATACATATAATATAGTAATAAATTAGCCTTCTAAGAACATGGAGTCACATTCATAATCCCTCCTTTGTCCTGGGGACCCAGCAAATGCCACAAAGAGGTTAGGGGCTGCTGCCGTATCTCTTCAGTTGTGCCAAGGAAAGTTTGTGTTAGATGTTAGAAAGAAATTCTTCACTGAAAGAGGGATTGGTCACTGGAATGGGCTGCCCAGGGAGGTGGTGGAGTCACCATCCCTGGATTGGCTTGAAAAAGATTGGATGTGGCACTGGGTGCCAGGGTTTAGTTGATGAGGAGATGTTGGGTCATGGGTTGGACTAGATGGTCTTAAAGGTCTTTTCCAACCTAGTTCATCCTGTGAATTCTGTAATTCTGTGGTTGATTCTGTCATTCTGTGCTGCCTTGCCTAACAGGATCATCTCCCCTCATCCCCTTCCCAATGGGAGTCCTGCCAGGTCTGCATGCTGCCCCCACCTGCACCTTGTTGTCACCAAGGTGGTCTCAGTGCCCTCCTCTCACAGTGCTTAAGGAGGAGCAGAGCTAGCTGGAATTATGCAACTACACATTTTTCATGGAAAATTTCCATTTATCCATTGTAAGGTCAATTTCTCATTTTAAAAAGAGTCAATTAAACCCTACCATAGCTTTACTTTTTGAATTTGTTTGGGTTTTTTTTGGGGGGGTTGTTTTTCTTTGCCTATTTTAATTTTGTTTGTTTGGGTGATTGTTTCTTTGTTTTGGGGTGGTTGTTTTTTTTGTTTTTTGGGTTTTTGGTGGTTTTTTGTTGTTTTTTTTTGTGTATGGTTTTGTTTGTTGCTTCGTTGGTTTGGTGGGATTTTTTTAGTGTGGGATGGGAGTAGGGGAGTTCCTGCAAGCTATTTAGAAAGAAGGAATTGTTGAATGAATCACTGAATTTTTATGAATTATTTCTTTTGACTCATAGACATTAAGATGAAATGTTTTGATCAACACAAAAGAGCGTTGTGTTCTTTGCATGAGCCCTTGCCAAGATTTCCTGAGAGGTTTCGGGACAGTTGCTTTTTGTGGGTTTTTTTGGGTGGCTTTTTTTTTTTTTAATTTTTTATAATTTCACATTATTGCAGGAATAATGTCTGCCTTAGCAACAGCGTTTCAAGGCTAATCTGGTAGGAGGCTCAATTTTAGCATCCTAAGGTTTTAAGGCTATGGGGAAATGAAAGCGGTGAAGGTGTGTGGGAGACTTTTCTGCTGGTTTTTTGGCCATTTGCCGCCACTCAGGGAGTCAGAGCTTCTCTGAGAGGACAGGTTTGCCCTGGCACAGATGGTGGCACAGCCCATGTGTGACACCCCCTTCCCTGTGTGCCCCTGCAGCAGTGATGGCTCACCCTGAGACGGGGTCACTGTGCAGGGAGCATGGCCCTGCCACATGCTCTGTGTCCCCCAGGGGACGAGGACACAGCCTTGTCCCCAAACCCTGTCTGCTGCTCATCCCTGCCCAGATGGGTCAGCAGAGAGACCTCACCACAGAGGACAGCCAAAAGGGGCTGGGAAATGTGGGGGCACCTCCAGTGTGGCCATGTTCACAGGGGTCTTATGTTGAGGGAAGAGACGAGAATCTGACTCCATGCTTGAGAAGGCTTGATTTATTATTTTATGATACATATTATATTAAAACTATACTAAAAGAATAGAAGAAAAGGTTTCACCAGAAGGCTGGCTAAGCTAAGAACAGACAGGAATGATAACAAAGGCTTGTGGCTCAGATTCTCTGTCCAAGCCAGCTGAACTGTGATTGACCATTAATTAGAAACAACTACATGAGACCAATCACAGATGCACCTGTTGCATTCCACAGCAGCAGATAATCAATGTTTGCATTTTGTTCCTGAGGCCTCTCAGCTTCTCAGGAGGAAAAATCCTAAGGGAAGGATTTTTCATAAAATATGTCTGCAACACCTCCAGGATGGTTTCAAAAGTGACCTCTAATCACAGACACTGCCCTAACCTGACACTTTTTTTTTTAATTCTTGTTTTATGGAAAATATCAGAATTTAACATTGTTCTTTGGAGCCTGAAAGACATTTCAGAAAGCACTGAAGAACCAGCTCCCTATGTGGGTTTGATAAGGCAGAACAGAGAGACCTGAAACAAAAGTTTGGATCAGACCACCCTAATCTTTGGCGGGGCTTGGAAACTTAACCCAGACCTAAGTTTTACAGTTGGCTTTAGCCCAGTCTCAAAATAAGCTGAAATAAAGTGGTATTAGAGAAGATCCAGCTCAGAATGTTTATCCTCAGGCATCTCTGTAGAACTAAGTGCTGTAGGACTCGGGGGGACTGAAGACAAGATAACACATGAGCCAAAAACTTTGCACTGGTATAAATATCCACCTTCCTTTTTACTTTTTCCCCTGCTGTTGGATCCTCTTGCCTATAACAATTTCTTTGTCCTCAGGGCAGTGCAGAATAGGATGGAGAAATTACCCAGTGGTCAAGCAAGGCAGTCACCTTTTGATGAAGCCACTCTTCTTTCAGAACATTCTAACCCATTTTTGTATCTGTTCCACCAGTTTCCTAAAGCTCCCTTGCTTCCTCTTCTCTCCCTCACCCTTCTGTCGTCCAAGGGTTATTTTTGTTTAACAAAATCTTTGCTATTACTAAACCTCAGTGACTTGGTCCAAGAAAATAAAGCATGCAAATGTAAACTTGGCAGGGTAATAATAAACAGCATTTTACTCTGCTTCATCAATTAGCTAGAGAGTCTGCTTCAGTTCATTCCTTTTGTAAATCCTTTGTTAAAGGGCTTTTTTGTTATGTGATGTTCTGAGCTGCAGTGTATGAATGTAATGTAATACAATGTGTGTTAAATTCAACTTCATAAATAAGACACTGAAGAGGTTTCCTATTTTTCAGCATCTCTGTTTTTCCTTCATCATATCTTTGTTAAAATAAAAAAAAAATCCATTCTTTGTCAATGGAGAGAAATATCCCTGGGTATAATAAAAATTTAGCAAATTCCATAGGAATCCAAGCCTTTTTACTTTATTAGAAATCTAATACTTATTCTTTTTTTCAGAACTACATTTCCCCAGACAACACACTCCTTTTCCAGTACATGTGTTTCATTTGCATATACATTAAAAAAACACCCTACAAGTAGGAAAGATCAAGATATAAACTTACATACTTCTAAAAACTGAGCAGCAACTAGTTGATAACTATTCAAACAGATTTGATTCCGTAAGGTTTCCAAAATCACTTTTCAAAAAGGGCTAAACTGTGTTATGTAAATGTGTTGCAAATCTGAGTTTGACAGTTTGGGACAAAATGTTTTTATAACATAAATATGCACTAAACTGTAATATTAGCTTTGGGCTATATTGGAGCAGACTGCATAGAAGCTGATTTTTTGTTGGAGTTCATCTGCAGTACAAGCCTGCAACTGATTAGCATTAATTTCACCCTGCAGCTGGGGGTGGCCAGGGCTGATTTTGCTGAGGAAAATGTACTGGGTTTGTGCTTTGCGCAGCTTTGAATTACCTTGCAATTTTTGTTAAAGGTGTTTTTTTTTTTTCCTTCACTTCCCTATCAAACCTTGCTGAAATTCACAGTGAGAGCTCAGCATTCATCTCCCCTTCCTTTTGCATTTTAGCAGTGCTGATCCTCAGTTGATGGCAGGGCATCTTCCTCAGTCCTGCTGGACCTTACAAACCCACCAAAGTATAATCCATCCCATCTGTTCCTGAATGGACAAAAAGCTGTCCTGAGGCTCCTTGCTGTTCCCAAGGCACAGCCTGAGCCTCAATTTCTGACTCCAGCCCCGTGCTCTGCCGCTAGACAAAACACCCGCTCCCAAACCTTAACAAATTCAGCTTAAAAAAAGGGAGGGAGGCAAAACCTTCCAGCCTCAGAAGGTTAAAATCTGGTTACTTTGTGGGAAGGCAGAGCTGAGGAGCCTTAGCTTGACCTTGGTCGTTCCAATCCCTACCCATGTGGAGGCTGGGTGGGGATATTAATTTCCATTTAAGGAATCACGGTGTGGCTGCTCTCCCAAATCCTCGGTTCTCTGGAAAAGGTTCTGCCCCCAGGGGAGGACCTCCTTGCTCCCAAAAGAGACAGGGAGAGCCTGAGACACATCAGCTCAGCAGAGAATAGGTCTGTCAGTGAGAAATGAGGGGATGCATGCACCTGTGACCAAGCAACTGCAGTTTGGAAAATGAATCCTGTAATGGAAATTTGGATTTCCACCAAAAAAAGGACGTATTATATATCCTCCTCACAGCCACACCAGTGTTTCAATGGATTTCTCATTCAAGTGAGCAAATGTACAACTCTTCTCCACGTGCTGTGCTTTTCTGGGAGTGTATTTGTCTTATTTGTATTTCAGAGTCTTATTTGTACCCCTTACACGAACCCCTAAAATTCAGTGCAAGCGAATTCACTTCACACACACTGTCAGTGCAAGGAGCTGGAGCACTTACCCAGGACAACAAGGTGAGGAAATAACCTCAGAAAGTTCAACCCCTGTAATGATTTGTGTGTATTAATTAAGCCAGCCCCACACACAATTAGCAGTTTCAAGAGTATTGACACGTAGAAACAGAATAACACAAATTTCTGTTGATTCATATGGGGGAAAAAACCAGCCAGTAAAGAAATAGGATTTCTTAAGTTTTAGCCCAAACTGAAAATTAATTTTTCTTACAGCCAGTGCAAACATGGGGCAACAGTTGAGTTTGCTATTTACTGTATTGTAGAGCACTGTTTTATACTGGCAGGTTCATACACTCAAGGGCAAAATTTTCCTTGCTGGATTCCTAAAATTCCATAAAAACTAGTGACCCCCTTATTTTCACAGTCTACACCTCCATTTTCCTGCCTGTCAGAACTTTCAGATGTCTGATCATTGGGCCACTGGCAGTCAATCTCAAGTATCAATGTCCCTAAAAATGAAACTCAACCATGAAATATTGTCCCTCCAGCATCCCATAACAGTCAGTGGGGTTGCTTGCTTCTAACCAGTAAAAACATATAAAACACACTGATCTGGCCCAGGGCAGATTATTGCCTTGTATTTCTACAGCCTTTTTATAAAATTTGGGGACTGTTGCCTTTCTCTGCTCTTCCTAGATTAATTACTCCAAATTTTTTTTGACACTTTATTTTTGACACTTTACTTCTACAATTTCTGACAATTTTTTTTACCTTTTTGTTTCACCTGAATGATTCAAGGACCATTTCTTGGAGCATGTGCAACCACAGCTCCATCTGCAAAGCCCTGTCACAGAAGGAATTACATTGCTCTGTCATGAGTTACTCTTGGCAACCCCTCTTTGGTTTTTGTTCCAGGCACCCACAAAAAGTGTGTCCTATAAAATCAGCTTTTCAGAGAGTGGGACAGATCGTCACACAGAGGATATTAGAAATATGTGGGATTTTTTGGTGTGTGTATGGATGGAACAGCAACACACAGAGGAAGCAAATATGACATTTTTAGGCGAAATCTGATTGCTCTTGAGAGCATGGAGTTGATTTCCTGTTGGTTTCAACTCTGAATTCCCCATTGCTTACATCCAGCTGAAGACCAAATGAACGGATTAAAAAGTTACTGTTTTGACAGTTTGAAAAAATTTGTTTATATGAAGCTTATGGATCTGCTTGAGCCATTTTGAACTAAAGAGTCTGGTTTTGAAAGAGGTGCCTGGTTTTTTGTATTTTTTTTCTTTCTTGGATCTAAAGGCCAACATACATCAGAGCAAGAACATGAATGCTGGTGGTTTTTGGTTCTTGGGGAGCCACATGAAGAGTTAGCTTCTACCTAGAAGCTGCTTTTCTACAGAGGCTTTTAATGATTTTACCCAGATCTTCAAATTCCCAGTAGTGTTGATGTAAAAGTTAATTATTTTATAGCCTGTATTGCAAACTTACTGTGTTCAACTCTCATCTCCCTTTGAAGAGAGAAACTACTAAAAATAATTTTATTTTTAAAAAATTATTTAATTATTTAAAAAATTGATTTAATTATTAAAAAATAATTTAATTTGGTAAAATCCTGCCTCTGGCTGTTTGGCATTGTCCCACTTTCTCTGGTTCTCCTGCAGGGAGGGCACACAAAACCTGTGCCTGAGCAGCACCTGAGGGCTGGGAGGCCAAACCCACAGACCTGGGGCAGTGAGATTCATCACAGTGCCAGGTATTCATGAGGAAATAAACCAGCAAAGCGCAAACATAAAGAGAATTTAGTGTGAGACCGTAAAAAGCTGCCGTAAATAAAATTTAATGTGAGCTGAGAATTCTTTTTTTTTTTTTTGCTCACGACTCGGACAACGATATCTGGCTGCTGTCAGAGACCTTTTAATATACCAGGCTTTTGATTTGAGGGCGCTGAACAAAGAGTGTAAAACTCATGATCCATATTTTATGGCAGGAGGAGAGTAAGGCCATTTCAGAGAGAGATGGCTTTGGTGATGAGGTTGGTCTCCATAAAGAATATCCTGCTCTTCTCACTACTTGGCACTTCTGGCTGAGCCCAGACCAACCCTGACCAGCCCTTGGGGCCAGTCCTGCTACTTCAGGCCGAAAATCAGGACATGATTTAGGGCATGAACTAAAGCTGGTGGTTGTGGAAAACTGCAGTGGGTTCCAGTTCTGAGCTTCAGCTGGTGCTCAGCACAATCTCTCTGGTCAGGGGAAAAAATGCTGTGGCTCCCAATTAATAAAGATGAAGAAAACATATCACAAAAATATAAGGCATGTAACAAATTCAGACTGACTCTAACTTCAGAGTTTTTTCTTCCAAAGCTGAAAGTGCCCAGTTATTATGAATGTTTTATTTAATAACACCCCCAGGAGGCCTTTAAGGCTGGAAAAAATAAAAGTTAGCACAGTGGGAGAAGAAAAAAGGTCCACGGAGGATTTTGGTATTGATACAGGGCCATGGGTTTTGCGCAGGGAGCCATCAGCTGCTTTGCGCTGCTCTTGGGCATTCCTGGGTGTAAATGGCTTTTTCCTGCTGCCAATCAACATCCTCGAAGCCAGCACCTCAGGATATCAGGCAGCTGATGCAAATCATTCCCACTGTGAGATTAACCTGGTTATTTACACCAGACTGTAGAATGTTGGAATAGGCTGATGTATTTTAATTTTTGTCCAAATACTTTGGGTTTTTATTCATTCCCAGGTCTCTTCTGCTTTGCTCAAATACATTAAATGGAAATTAATGCCAGAACTACATAAAGCTGCAAGGGTGTTGCAAAAATAAGCACAGGGCCATGCAAACAGAGGCATATATTCTATCAGTTATATATCTCCAGTGTAATATTATTATATTTTAATACTTATCTTTTTTTAGGAAAGTTCAGTGTGCTATAGACACAGATTTACTGGGTTTACTCAACACAAGCAGGGCTGACACTGAAACTCTCACCACTCTTATCTTACTTGAAATGTTACATTTTACTGTGTGGTTTTGCAAAGAAAATGTTCCTTCCAGTTTAAGAAACACCACTCCACAATGTCAGAAATGAACATTACATCTGCCCCATGTGGGGCAAAAATCACTGAAAAACCGTTATTCCTTACATTAGCCAGACACTGGTTAAAATATATAAATTTTAATTTGAGAGCAGGTTGGAACACACTTGGCTGAAGAAATATGATTCCTCCTCTACTTATGAATTTCCTAATTTTGGAGGAGGGACCCTGACCTTGTATCCAAGGCTGGTGCTGTTTTACAAAACAGTAACAGTAAAAAAGGTAGAAAATCTTTTTTTTTAAAACAGATCTCCCTTGTGTTATTGCATGCAGCAAAGAAATAATTCCTCACTGCAGCTTTAATCCAATAACGAATTTCATGTTTGGATTTCGGCATGTGCACAAGCATCTGTACCAAGCTTCAGGCAAACTTGCTCTGCTTCCACGTGCACCAGCATCTCCCCTTCCCAGGCACAGCAGGAAGCAGCCACAGCACAATCCCCTTGGTTTTCACAGCAGAAAAATAATGAACTTTTGCTGCAGAGGAAGCAGGAGCCTGGGCAGGTGGGGAGAGCTGTCTCACGCAGGTAAATCTGGGCCTGCCAAGAGGAATTTTCTCCCTTCAGGGGCTGCGCAGACCCTGCAGAGCCTGCCCCAGTGGAGGGGAGGCTGAACACATGAGAGCTTTTAGCCAGCAGAGAAAAATAAAGATTTTTATCCTCCAGCTGATTTCTCTCTTCACTCATAACTGCTTTAGAGAACTGAAGCTAAACATGTAAGTGTCCAGTTCTGTTTATCTCATAAGTTTGAAAAGAACAGGGTCCCTTCTTGTTAAAGATGAATTATGTGGGGTGGAACAACCTAAATGCACTACGCCACTGGCATGGAAACTGGGCAGGGTTTTCCTGCAATCCAAAAGGGGAAGTTTCTGTGGCCTCCAGCCAGGAATGGAAGAATAGATGTAAAGAAGTAAAATAAGCCCATTATGTTTATTTGGTTCCAAGAACCACTGAGACATTCTTATTGTGCAGGGCAGCTGTATCCTTTTTTTCTTTGTCTTTTCCCCTTTTCCTTTTTTCCTTTTCCTTTTCCTTTTCCTTTTCCTTTTCCTTTTCCTTTTCCTTTTCCTTTGCCTTTGCCTTTGCCTTTTCTTCTTTCTTTCTTTTCCCTTTCCCTTTTATTTTCCCCTTTTATTTTCCTCTTTTCCTTTCCTCCTTCTCCTTCTCCTTCTCCTTCTCCTTCTCCTTTTCCTTCTCCTTCTTTCTCTTCTCCTTTCCCCCTTTCCCCTTTTCCTCCTTTCTCCACTTTCCCTTTTTCCTATTGTCCTCCTTTTTTTCTTTTTCCCCTCTTTCCTCTCTTTCTCTTTTCCTCTTTTTTCCTTTTAAAATTTCATTTTCTGCTCCCTCTCTCAGGATCCCTCTGGCATACACTTGCTGGTGAATGTATGAGTATGTGATATGTCCTCATGAAACTTTTTATTTACCTCTGTTCAGTGCAGTGCTTTGGGGAAAAAAAAAAGAAAGGGTTGAACACTCTTTTACGTGTATTGAAACTCATAAAATGTTTTTCATTTCAACTCATAAATGGATTATCGTTGCATCCCCGATAACGCAGGGTCAGCGATAACGCAACGTCAGCCATAATGCAACATCTGATAAAGCAACATCAGCCAGGAGGGACAAAACCCCAGGAATTCCCTAACACCACATCAATCCCACCCAAGACGTGTCCCAGGGTGTCACCTACCTTCCAAATTGAGGGTCACCACTGCCGTGTCATCCTCCAGCCCCTCGATCACCTCGCACTTGTACCTGCCGTAGTCCTCCAGCCTGATGTTGGTGATGACGAGCGAGGCGTCGTTCTCGCTGCTCTCCCGCAGGGACACCCTGCCCTGGTAGCCCCCGTAGCTCTTCCTGTGGTGCCCCATGGCCACGAACACGTCCACCTCCTTGAGGTAATCGTAGGTGAGTTTGGTCCACTTGACGCGGATTTTGTGTGTTCCTGAGCCGGCGGCGGCGGCGGAGGAGTGCTCGTGGTAGAACTTGCATGGCAGTGTCACGTTGCCACCACGGTGGGAGAAGATCTTGGCTTGCTCTGCTACCACCAGGAGACGAGGCCCGTTTTCTGTGGGGTTTAAGGAGGAAAAGGTAAAAAAAACCTCAAAAATCAAAACCTGCTGTGGCTTGGTTTTGCGGGCTGTCCCGGGATGAGGGAAGAGATGAGAATCTTGACTCTGTGTCTCAGAAGGCAGGTTTATTATTTTATGATATATATTCTATTCTATTCTATTCTATTCTATTCTATTCTATTCTAAGAAAATTATATACTAAAACTATACTAAAAGAAAAGAAACATCAGAAGGCTAGGAAAAGAATAGAATGATAATAAAATCAAGGTGTTTGCAGGGGTCCCGGGATGAGGGGAGAAATGAGAATCTTGACTCTGTGTCTCAGAAGGCTGGTTTATTATTTTATGATATATATTATATTAAAAGAAAATTATATACTAAGACTATGCTAAAAGAAAAGAGACATCAGAAAGCTAGCAAAAGAAAAGTATAGAATGATAATATAATCTTGTGACTGGTCACAGCCTCAACACAGGTGGCTGTGATTGGTCATTAATTAAAAACAATTCACATGCTGGGTAAACAAGTCTCCAAATCACATTCCAGAGCAGCAAAATATGGAGAAGCTGAAGCTTCCCATCTTCTCAGGAGAAAAGATCCTAATGAAAGGATTTTTCATAAAATATGTCTGTGACAACCCACTCTCCAAGAATTGGTTTGCAGTCTTCCTTTTACACAATGGGTGTGGTCAATGCTGTTGGTGTCTCAAGTTTTAGCTTTCATATTTTTCAGATTCTGTGCTACTTCAGTGTGTAGCTCTGAGCTTCATGTTTAGTGTTAGCGAGTTCTCCTCCCAGGATAGGTAGGAAAAGGAAAACAATTCCTTGGACTTGTCTTTTCCTTTTCCGAGGAAAAGGAAAACAATTCCTTTTCCATCTTGACAAGGGACAACAGTTACAAGCTCCAGGCCCAAAAATTACAAACAACAGTAAATTGAAGAGGGAAAAACAATGATGGGATTTCATGGACTAAAGCTGGAATTGGACAATTAACTGCAAGATGCAAATGGAGCAGAACTGATCACAGTGACAGACCCCAGGAGTGTTCATGCATTTTGGGGCCATTTTGGTTCGTCTTGGGTTCATTTTGGGACCATTTTGGTTCAACTTGGGTGCAGCCCTGGCTGGGCTCTTGTGCTGACCAAGGCGGATCCATGGAGGAGATCCTTTGAATAAATCCCTCCTCTATTCTCTAACTCTGTTCACCCTCTGTTCTAGCTCAGCCTTCACCAGCTGCATCTGCAGGATCACCACCCTGCAATAGTTTTGTACCTGTTTAGTAAGAAGGTTTATAAGCCAGTTATAAATAAGTATTTGTTTAATTATTTATTTAATTATTATTATTTAATTATGATAATAAAAGATTAATTATGATAATAAAAGATTAAAAATTGTAATGTATATTAAATATTCTAACTTATTATTTAATTATTTGTGCAAAAGCATCTCAGTGCCCCTTACACAGGCAGAGACCACCCTATACTCATGAAGAGGGAGTTGTGTAAATAGATTTACAGTGTTGTAATGCTGATGAATGAATGCCGTCACCCATAAAAGGCTTCAAAACACTTCTCATATTTTCCTGTTTTCACGGGTTGTATATCAATGCTTTATTTTCTATTTTCATAATTCAGTTTTTCTGGAGGGATTCTGCTTTTTCAGGCAGCAGCACACAGAGCTCCTCACAGTCTGGGATGCAGAGAATCCCACTCACAAAGCAGAAAAACCATTAATGCATCAAACAGCATTATTTATACTGACATGAAAAGTGTCAGCAAAATTCTAAAGTAGATGTTTTAGGCATTTGTATTTCTATTTTATTCTAAATTTTGAGTGTAAGTTCCTCTTCTGACCAGAGTAAGGAAGTCCAGTTGCTTTTCAAACATAAAATCTGTTCCCCTGCTGCCCACCCTCTTCATCATCCCAATGTAGTTTTTCCTCCTTAAAACTTGTCACTGCTTTATCTTTTATATTCTGATCACACTTTTCATGCAAGCCTGTATCTGACTGTCTGTTTCCTCTCCTCCTCACCCCAGGTTTCCTGATTTCCTTCCCTCTAGCAGCAGATGTTGCCCTGTGAAATAATTTGGCTTAGGACAGTCGGCTGGGGCAGGTGCTCTCTTCCAGCCCTGAGTCTCTGGGGATTTTACAGGCTGTGCTGCCTTGGGAAAACCCTGGAAAATGCAGATTTCATGTGCTAGTCAGCAGACGTACCCAAAAGCGAGAGTTTTGTCTCCTTTCAGTACCTCTTGCCTCATTCCTCATGCAAAGTTTGCAAAACTGGCTGAGCAAGCTCAGCATTCCTGTTGGGTTTGCTGTCCTTGAGCCCTGAGACAGTGACCAAAACCCCCAAAAAATCACCAGCGCTCTGGAAAAGCACCACCAACCTCCCTGTGTACTCACAGGCTGTGAAAAGAGACTTTGCAATCCCCTGTCCATGTTCAGCAAGTCAATTTGGCTGCCCGAAATTGCGATTCCCCGCTCTGAGGCTGGACCTGGCTCTCTCTGAATCCAGCAAAAGCTGTGGGTGAGCTCCCAAAAAAAAACCACAGAGGCTGCTTAGAGGATGGCCCTGCAAAGGCTGGCAGCAATTTTCTGTGCTGGTTCAGACAGAAGTGATGAAAAAATGCCATCAGCCAGGGAGATGTGGGTGGCTGGAAGAGGGAAGGGCTGGGATGGATGCGGAGCTCTCCATGGAGTGTCTGTCCCAGGTCTCCAGCTGTCTGTCCACAGCACTGCAGGAATCTGTGGCGTGTCCACAGCATGAGGGGCATGCAGGGAGTCTGTTGGAGCCCTCCAGACAGTCCCAGGCTTCTGAGGCCTGGTGGCAGCTCTGTGGTTAAATAAAATATCTGCCCAAACTGCAGCCTCAGCTGGGTTTCCCTCTCTGCCCACTGCTGCACTGAATATGGGAATCCTGAATTCCCCAGGGAATGCAGGATTTTGTGTTTATGCAAACACAAAATGAGGGTGGTAATTGCAAAGACAAGCTTGCTGAGTGCAAATGTGCATCTGCTTGGGGAGAACAGGTATCCCAAAGGTACAGCTCTTCATTGGGAGGTGCTGTGTCCAGAGCTTTGCTGCTCTCTGCACTGCTCAGGGCTCAGCTTCCTCAAGAATGAGCAAATCTGAGTGCTGCAAGGTGTTTTGCCAGGGTGAGAGACCTTCCTGCCTGGTGGGAAAACAAAGCTGCAGAGCAGGTTGCCTACAGCCCCTTTTAAATGATATCCTTTTTCACTGCCCTCCTTTCCAGAGGCTCAGGGATGCTCCAGCAATCCATTCCCGAGGAGAGCATCCAAGGAGAGAGGTGATCTGAGGCAAGGCACCATGGAAAGCTTTACCAGCAGTTTCCACAGCAGGAGGAGGAGGAGAAGGAGGAAAGTGAAGAGACAGCTAGCACAGTTTGTCTGCAAATTTTCCTGTTTCCTTTGGGGACAAAGATGTTCCACAGTGCTCTGTCCACCTTGGGAGGAGAAATGTTTTGCTTTGGGGTGGTTATTACCAAGAAATCTGACTCAGAGCTGAGCTATGTTGGGCTTTTAGTACTGAAATAGTCAAGTTAATAAATATTTAGCAGAAAGGGCTGGGAGGCTGTGACTCAGGCTGTTAATGCTCACTCTTTCTAACAACTGTGGCTGTGCCAGCAGGGCCTGGAGGCTTGCCCAGAGCACTGTCACCTCTGACTCCAGCAGCAGCGCCCTAATTTGGGGATGTTCCTCCCTGTGGCTGCCTCCCACCTCCTCTGGCCCTCTGCAGCAGCCACGGGCTGAGTCTGGGTAGGTGTGAAGAGATAGAGGGGATGGTAGCCTGGGAAGGGAAAGGGAAAAGGAAAGGAAAAAACAGAAAAGAAGAAAGGAAAAAAAAAAAAAAGAGAAGAGGGAAAAGGAAAGGTAGAAGGAAAGGAAAAAGGAAAGGGGAAAGGAAAAAGGAAAAAAAGGAAAGGAAAGAGGGAAGAAAAGAGGAAAGGAAAAAA